CCACTCACCCCTTCCCATTTTCTTGTGGGAAAGCGTTCAACTGCACTTCCGACCAGCTTTAGCGTGGAGCCTGTGCCTCCCCTTGAAGGACAATACAACAGGCGGTGGCGTTACCGTCAAAGGATGGCGGATCAATTTTGGCGTAGATGGAAGAGGGAATACTTGACCAGTCTGCGATCTGCTCATTTCACGGTGCCGACTTCCTCCAGTGCCCTGAAGAAAGGAACTCTAGTGTTGGTCCACCAACATCTCCAACCTCGACAACTTTGGAAGACGGGAGAAGTCGTAGAAGCATTGACTGGACGAGACGGGCACATGCGAGCTGCTATGGTGCGTCTTCCGAATGGTACCATTGTTAGGAGACCCGTACAACTTTTGTACCCCATGGAATCTATTTATTATTGGCTTGACGTCATTGTGGGGGAGTGTGCAGAAACTCAATTTTCGTTTTTCTTGTATAGCCATCGCACATGACGCGATCCCAATAAACATCGTCATCTTCTGTTTTGGTTTTGTCAAAACATGGCGTACGGCTCGTTCCTCGCGGCGGAGTTCTAACAAGTACAGGCATGCAAGAAGGAGTATAGAAGCAAGATATACATATATATATATAAATATATATATATACATACATATATGGAAGCACGATATATATATACTTCTGAACAGTATATGTTCGTGAGCCATCTTGAAGCTTATGCTTATTTGAGGTTTGTGTGAGCGCGGGCAGTAGCTTCTTTTAAGTGAGTTTGAAAAAGTTTATCGAGTAACGGCTGACCAGGCCCTCAAGTTGAGTAGTCTGGTAATCGAGGAACAAGTCCGCATAGGCACAATCTTCTGTGATCGATGGCAATTAAAATAGTTATCTCAAAACACACACACACACACACGCAGGCACGCACGCACGCACAAACACACATAATACACGCAGACGCACACACAAACAAACACACTGGTTGAGGCAATTTGCTACACTGTTCACGCTGAAACGGCGTATACCGAAATTCTCATTGTTTTGTTTTCGAGCAAGAAAGCCTGTAATTAAAACTGCTCTAGTCAATGACAAGTTAAAAGACGCAATGTGTGGTGAGTCTCGGGCACCTTGTTAACGCCCCCTGGTCAATCATATCGCGTGCCGTCAGCCAATAAGAGCACATACAAATGAATGACGTAGTAAAAAAGTTTAAAGTGGCACTGACACATAAAATCATTTTTTGAATTGTTTGAAACGATTGAAATCGGTGCTTGGACATTACCCTCAAAAATTTGAAACTTGAAAATTCAGTATTTGTGAAGTAAAAAATTAATTTCCAAATGGCCGAATTAGAAGTTCCCACGCGATCCGCGCCGGTGGAGTGACGTCAAATTTTGAGGGCTCCTGAGAGTCGAGTTTCTTTCGCGCCTCCGCTCCGAAACGTGTCTCCTCCACCCGAATCGAGGAGAGAAGGGCGCCGGCGTCGCGGGAACTACCGTACCGGGAAACCGGTTTCCTGCGTGAGTGCCGTGCTGCCTGATGCTTCGAGCAGACGACGGTGCCCCGCCTATGTCGCAACCAAAACTACGATACACAGACACAAAACCCAGCTGTTTCGACGGTTTAACAATTTCCTTTTCGAGGTCTGAGAGATCATCGGGCACTTTAAAAAGACCACTTCATTCAATTCCCCGACTCAGCGATCACCCTTTGCTATACACGGGTCGAGCGCCGTCATGTTTTCCTGCGCCAGAAAACTCCAAATTCATTCAGCCGTCATGTTTTCGAAGGGAGGATAAAAATCCGGAAGGTGACATCACAACAGACTACGATTTTTGGTATTTCGAAAAGATGGGCCGTAGTGCATTCGTAATTGCGTTAAAAAACATGTTTTCGGACTGTAGTGCTTAAATGTTATAGAAATGTTGTCTACAAAGCTTCTAAATTTTATTATTTGTGACGTCACCAATCAAAAGAAGCAGGGAGGTGACGAGCGAGAGAGGAAAACGCCAAAAATAAAAAGACGGGCGCTCGGTGAAGAATTATTATTATTATTTTTTTTTTGCGATGCGGTATTTGTTTTGTGTGTCCACGACTACGACGTGCATCCTTTTAGACATTAGAAAGATACGACCATTGGAGTGTCGGTGCCCCTTTAAGCTACCCGAACCAAAAGGGAGTGAGGTGCCCCTTACCGGCCTGTCACGACAAATTTACCCTTCGCTGCTAATCCATCACGAAAAAAAAAAACAAAAAAACGACCCAATTTCTTTGTTGCTGCTCGAATGTCGGGCAGTCCACGCTATGTAAGAGTAAATATAAACAGCCAGACAATATAAAAAATCCTTGATTTTTCAGAAACTCCTCGTAGATGCTTGCAGACGACAGACAAGACATGAGATCGCCCAAAAACTCTAAGCTCCTATGTAGCTGTGTATGCTACAATTGCTTTAGAGCAATACTAGCTCGGTCGGTACTCATCAAACCCTGTCTTTCTTAAGCTGTCAGAGGCTCCAGAGAACATCATCTGATATAGTGAGTGAAGTAAGAAGTGCGAACATAACAGATCACACCATGCACTTTTTAAAATGTCAGCGACTACATTCTAAAACCTTTCTCCTTTCAAGGAGAAGAAGAAATGTCCGATGAAGTCCTCCGGCAAGGGAGCACAATTTTCTTATTTCAAAAGGTTGGGAATTTTATCCTCTCACGGTTCGATTCTCCTTCGATTCCCACGAACGGAGTAAAACTTCCTCCCCTAAACCAACATGGCGTAACGTTAGTGCGAACCGGGTCCAAAGGCTTGTCCATCTGCACGGCTCTTCACCGTAATAAGAGCTAACGGCGTATACTCCTTTCCGGCGTCTTTCAGGTGCACAAGAGACTCTAAAAGAGCCGTCTTCAAGCACGAACCTCATATCTCGTACGGGAACGCGATGAAAAATGAGCACACAAAAGACAAGGACAAACGCGAAAGGAACACAGAACAAAAACAGGCGCGTGCCTGTTTGTGTTGAGTTTCTTACTCGTTTTTTCTTGTCTTTTGTGTGCTATTTTTCATCGTGTTCAACGTTTACCAACTCGCAAAGCTTTCCACTTTACTTTCGCACGGGAAACACGACAGTGTTCGCATAGGGCGATTCGGCGCTTAGGGCCACGTAATGTGATCGATGTGGTTTCCGCCAAACGGCGCTTCAAACAAAACAGAAAAAAAAAATCGAAACTTCGCCGCTTGTATTTTTCTTGTCATTCAAGTTCTGAATACACAGACAAACGTGAATATACAATACAATCCACTTACATATACAAACAGCAAACAAAGCACACATTCAAGAGCAACACAAGGCAGAAACCCGTAACGACAGACACTTTGAATGGTTCACCCGATCGCTATGTATGGCAGTCTTTTTTTTTTAATATTCCAATGAGATACTTATAGGCACATCTCTTCTAATATCCATGTAAAGGCCGACGAAATATTATGACTACATAATATTTCTATAGATTTTTTTAAGGGAATTGTATATACCTCTTAATATAACGCCTTTAAAATTGCCGCAATAGATTAATTAAGTAATTCATATAAAAACTTTTTAATGTTGATTTTATGAGTCCTGCGAAAGTACAGTATTTACGGTGATTCCTCTTATAGGTACTACCAGTTATTAGATATTAGTGAATTATTGTATCACCGCGACAAATATTCTTCTATCTAACAATCTCCGAGCCACAAAACACTCAGGAAAGACGGCCTTTATGTAACCGCTATACGCTCTCTTTATCAATTCTGTTTGTGTTAAAATTAAACTACCTGTTTATTGCCGTAAACTAAAAGGTGCTTCCCAATAACGCTAATGGGCTTCGAATATACCACAAGGGGAGAGATCATTCTCACATTTTGTATGTGTGTAAAAGAATTATAGCTCTCGATTGAGCCCATGTAAACCGCAAACGCCGAATTGTGGTTCATGTAGACGTTCTTTTTTATTGTGACAAATTTGTGGTCTGGAAATTTCCATAGCTTAAGCAAGTCTTTTCACTCCCTTTTTAAATTTTGAAATATTAACAAAAAACTACCGATTTAAACGTTGGGGCAATTGTTAACTTCATAACTTTACTCTAAGCTAAATAAATCAGTCTTTATACTAGCCAGACTTGGTTCCGCAAGGAACGAGCCAAAATACGCGGCACAGGCGACGAGGCACTACCCAACACGCCAAACCAGTGAAACGAAACCAGTCAAACCTAGCTTACTGTGGGCTCCACGGCCCCGCCATTTCGCGGCGATCGCCCAGTGTTGCTGGATGTTTTTCTAATGCTGCTAAATGCTTTATTGGTTATTGTTTGCAAAAAGCAAAGAAAACGTCACTGAGTTCTTTCAGGTTTTACCCCATAAAAGAGTTTATCAGGACGTTATTTAACAGAAAGGTAAACTGAGCCGCTGTTTTCTCTTGTCTTTGGCAAGCGTTGGCTAACTTTCTTTAAATGGAGCGCCGGGCTGGTGACCGGCGAAAGGTTCCCCCAAGCTTTATATTAATACAATCTAAATTCAGCACCCCAATCTAATGCCTCCAAGGATGTAAAAAGAAATTGAGCACTCAAGTTCTTGTCCCTGCTGTCACCGATCTGACCACCACTGTGGCCACGAACATGCAGGAGGAAGTTATTTTTCTTTCTTTAAGTGCTACAAGACGGCACTGAATGTCAATCTGTTAAATGAAGGAGAGGAAGCAACTTCCTTTCCTTCCGTTGGCGAAAGGGAGGAAAATCGATTTATCCTACAATTCCACCCCCCTCTTTTTTTTTTTTTATAGTGCATAGTCAACTACGGTCGGTGCTCGCGTCGTGCAGTGGTGGACAACATTCAAGAGGAAATTGGAGCAACGAGCAGATGTCTTGCAAAAATACGACATCAAGTTTTGCGTGGTATACGGCAGGCAGCAAGCAAAGTTCACCGCTTTATGCATTCTAGTCCTGTCCCTTATTGTCTTAACCTGTTGGAGAGGTGTTTGAAGAAAGCAATTACCCATTAATGCAAGATCTCGGTCCACCTCTCGCCTCAGTATCGCCAGCATTTGCCTCACTCCGGCTTCACCCTGAAAACGTAAAGAAGCCTTGTTATAGACACACATGTGTGGTCCGGAATAAAATGACAATATTGTCCGCATGTCTCGTGTAGCGATTTTGTTATCCGACGACCGCAGGCAGATGAAGAGGCTCTTTCACGCTAAAGTTTAAGACGGTAGCTATAGTAAAAACATAAGCATTGTAGAGTTTATGACCATACGCGTGGTGACGAGTAGCGAGGCGAGAGTTGATGTCGTTGGGGGTTCTGTAAACCCGTCACAATTCGCAAGCATCATACAAAACACATGGTGTTCCCGGTGGACATGGTGAAAAAGATATGTGCAAACACGCCTCAAGTATTATCGAAGCATATCTGTTCTACATACGTGTTTGCTTCGAACATGCCTGGATGCAGTTTTTGCATAATACATTCGCTCATCATGGAACTCAAGAAAGCAAAGTTTTATCAAATATCAATTGGTTGGGGAAATATGAAAAGGTTTGATGCTGCTTAGGTTACCTTAAGTTAATGGTTATACTGTGCATAAGGTCGCGGACATTCAATCAGACAAGGAAAGTTGAAGAACTTGCGCAGACTGGAATTGGGAGCATATCGGAACACACCAAATAAGGAGGGACCGGGGGACATGACCTGGCCGTTTCGTGAGAGGAGTGGGGCAATTACTAAACTTAAAATTGAAAGAGTTTGACATAAATGGAGGATAGCTGGAAGGCTTGGAAACTAAACGAGCAATTAGGCCGAAATAGTTGCACAAAACAAAAAAACGAACGAAGTGAACCCGAAGTCTTTTCTTGAAATACCTCAGCTGCTTTTGCACGGGTTGTGGTGACATCAGAACGACAAGCTCAAATTGCCTGTGATGGAAGGAGAGTGGTTAGATTTCAAAGCAAGCTCCCTTGTATTTTAACCAATATCCTTCACATCAAGCGTGATCGGCGTTCTGACTTTACCGCAACCCCTGCAAAGGTAGCAGACGGAATTGCGCTCTTCATAATCACAAAAGTGTGTTAAACTATTCATGGAGAAGGTCTAAAGAAGCGAGATAGTAAAAAAAAAACTGATGAAGCAAATTATTTGCGAAAATCTTAATTTATAAAAACAATTTTTATGGGATAGTTGTGTATATAGGCCAGGTAACGCCAACTACCGCCCGATACAGAGGTTGATGCATGGCATATCCAGTACCAGAAGGTCGAACCGGATTCGGAACCGAACCAAACCTAACCGGAAACCGGAACAGAACCGCTATTTTAGCCGAACCGGAACTTAACCAAACCGAAAACTTTGCCGCCATTTTTGAACTGAATCGGAACTCAACCGGAAAAAAAATATAACGGCAACATGTCCAAAGTGGACATGTTGCCGTGGTGTATTCGGTGTATTGGCATACACCAAAGTGCACTGCACTTCGGTGTATGCCAATTTGATCACTACATAAAAATACAGCTGACAATTTTTATTTCACAAACATTCATTTTGTTACAAAAGAAATACCATGCGCCGCTTCGAACATCTTTCCGTTGTATTTTTTTCCGGTTGAGTAAGAGTAAGATAAGAGCAAGATATGAGGAATTATGGGTTTTCCTGGCGCTTTTTTAGTGGCACTGTGATTCATCGTGTGGTCCCGTGACGCAGTCAAGTGACTCAAAGTCGACTTACATTGAGAGTGTCACTAGGTGTATTAGTGCCATTCTTGACGCCGTGACGTCAAATGGCATCATGACTTACCACGAGTCACATGACACTGTGAAGTACTCGATTGCCATCAGCAGTGCTCATGTTCATCACAAACAGGATCGCGAAACATTCGAATAATAGCTCGAGTACAATCCAAAATGAGGATAGCCGAACTCTAGCAATGTCTAAAGCTCAACCCATGCTTGCTCCTTTTCCAACCTCATCGAATCACTATGATATACGTATAATATGCGTATATGACACGCATAAATCAGAAATATTATCTGCTGCATTGCGTAATAATAATTAGAAAAAGTCATCACTTCTGGACAAACGATTAAACACAGGTGCAAGAAAACAAGATTATATTTTTCTGCTAATTCACATGTACGGAGAATATAGTGGGGAAAATCCTAAACACGGCAGTCTCACTCGCTTTTTTCATTAACCAAGATATCAGGCGTTAATATCCTTTTGCACTCATAACACTGACTCTGCACACTTGGGACTATGGTTCTGAACTGCCTCGCTGCACTCCCTGTCGGAGCCTCGTTGCGCTGATCTCCAGTAAACTTAGTTCATTCGATTTTTTTAATTATTAATTTCGCTTCGGCTCTCCCTCCCCGCCCCCTTGGTGGCTCCGAGTGCGAGTGTCGGACGGATCCCGAGTTGGCGGGTCCAAACCTCGGCCAAGATGCCCGTATTGTGGCGTGAAGCCCATTTCGGAGAAGACATGGTGTAACCGAGATTTTGACTGCATTACCGTCTAGAGGTTCGAAATTCATCCTCAGTTTTCCACTCGTGCGTGCCTTTCCCTCCCTTCCATCTTCATTTTATATGACTCCATCTCCCGTTTCTTCTCGCCCCCTTCGCCTGTTGAACGGACACAGCCGCCACATTCGTTTGTTATTTGAGCACCTCGTCCTTTTGCTTACCTTATAGAAACACGCACGTGCTTTTGTTTCATCCCAACCTCTACCAATGACGGCCAGCGCTTGCCAGTCTCGATTTTGCATATTTTTAAACATACATTACGTTGTCATTTGATTGGCGTTCCCCTACTGGCCTTCTAACGCGGACAGGGACGCGTTTCGGAACACTTTCTCTCAGTATACTCACAGGAGTGTACGAAAACCAAGGAAGGGCCGATTATGCTCGCTGTTCTGTCCTTCTGATCCCTTCGTCGCTGTTCTTATCGGATTGTTCCGCAATGCACTCTGCTGCGGAGAGCTAATAAGATGCTCGGAACACAATCGCGCCCTCCGCTTTTTGAGCTGTCGGTGGGCATATACGAGAAAAAAAACGGCGAAATCGGGACGCGTTCGCCGTGACCGCGCCGGGACTTCAAAGCAGTCCCCTAGCGACCCTTGCAAACACCATCTAGATAGCAGGGCCGTAGTGATAATTTTGTTTACGTTACGCAGAAAGACGAGCGCGGGGGGCTATATCGGAGACGGTATTGCGTCAGCGTCCATCCGGAAGTCGTGCGATTTTATGAGGCAACACTGGTAACAACAGAACGATGGACACAGCACGTGTGGGTCCATGCCCTATAGCCTCTTGTAGGTTACCTGACCATAGACCCTTTTTAAGAAGTCCTCACCATCACCTGTCCGTCTATGCTTGAGCACATACTCTGAGCATGTGTTGGACACGAGTGTTGTCTCATTCCCAAGCAATGGCGATCACCAACGCTGCTATGTGCACTTTCGAAGGGGGTTTGTTCTAGCACCGCCTTGTGAGCAGGAGGCGTTCTCATTGGTATGCAACAAGCAGTCGGTGTGATTGCTATGCGACAGATCCCTGAATAGTGGCAGACTTCAATAGTATCATAGTGACCTCGGGGACCTCTGGTCTTGCATCAACAAACAAAAAGGTTTTCTGTCCAATGGCGACATACCGAATACGTCCTGGCAAATCTCAGCTAGGACTTCGTCAATAGACTGGGAAGTTGGTTCAGCCTATATGCTTGAACTCCGTTTCTTATTCCGATCACTTTTTATTTTATTTATCGCTCTTTGATCATGTGGCTTCTATGGGGTCTTTTTCTGATAAGGTTGCTGAATTGATATCGTGGATGTCTTACGTTGTACGCCAACCCCCAGATGGTAGGACGTCCAACGAACGCAGCCTTGGCTCCGAGTGCCAACGCCTTGATCACATCCGTGCCATGACGGACGCCGCCGTCTAAATAAACTTCGACGCGTCCGCGGACTGCACTCACGACCTCTGGGAGGACCTCGATCTGCAGAAAGGTCGAAACATTAAATTTCTCTGGATACTTTGCTGATCTTTAATATGAATTTCAAGGTAGAACTGAAAGCTGAAATTAATTGAAGTTTGTCTTATTTGCTATAGACGCGTTCAGGCGGCTGTGCATGGGCGCCGCGATGACCGACCTTTCAGGGTTTTTTTTCTTTCCTCTTATTCCCTTAGCAGGCGCCATTTCTAGGTTACCAACTTCTCCATAGCACTTACCTATTTTCTTCTTCTTCCGTTCGCTTAACTTCATCATTGCCGCAGCAAAAAAGGTTATTGCCACTTTAAATGCTACTTAGTCCTTCTTTCCAGCATAGGCTTTCCTGGAGGCTCGTCAAAAACCGCTTCAGCTGCTCAACATCTGGTAAGAAGATATGGTCGGCAATGGCAGCTCAATCTGGCGCGTGCATATAGCGTCTATATGGAAATGTTAGAACTTCTTTCGAAATATTTAGTTTTAAAAATTGGCGAAAGGAACACTAATGATGTTTGCGTAGGTAAGCTCTACGGCAAGGGAGCATGATATAGGTGGTTAATCCTCAAGATACGTCAGTTAATTACCTAAGACTTTATAGGTCACTTTTCACTCTGTGAGATTACCCATATGGCTCTAATTAAAAACTTGCTACGCGTCATTGAAAACACCTAAATTAGTAAATTTGAGAAGGTTTTGATGGACGTGGGAAGCGAGGGGTGCACCAAAATTCTCACTTGTGCCTTGAGCAACAAGCACAAGGCTAGTGGTGTGGAAACGGACAGATTTCTACTATACGGGGTTGGATAGTGCTTAGATATGCTACATGCCGGGCACGAGTGAACCCATTGAGAAGTTCAGTGCTTACCCCGGAAGTCCAGTGTTTGCGGGGATTTATTTCATAGAGCATTTAATCAATGATTTGGGTCACAGTTTCCTGCATTTTTTACGTAGGCTTTAGTAATACATTTCAGCTTTTAATCTAGAGGCTTTTGAATGGGGACATCCACACTTGATCAACTGGAATCTCCAAGCTTCCGCAGATCACTTAGCTTTCCAGTGGACTTCTCGAGCCCGCATGAGCGGTTCTTGCGCAACAAGTGCACTCTCCTGAGATGACGCAAGCAAACCCACCGCCTTGAACTGTGTTTGAGCAAACGCTCTAAAGAGTTGGAAAGACTGTCAAGCGCTCATTTCCTGGACAAGACGCTTACATCTAGTGGCTTCATACCTGTTTACTCAATGCGCCATCCAGCACCCTAGTGATGATTAGTGCGAAGACGCGGATAAAAAAATGCATAGTGTCCGCGTATATGCACCGATAGCCTTGCGCCTGTTGCGGGAGTGGTAGGAAGTTGGCACAGCCCCTAGCTTCCCACGTCCGTAAAAAATTGAGAAAATTGGCTGATGCGAGCGTGTTCGATGACGCTCAGAAAGCGTCTAATTGGAACCATATGTATATTTTTAATAATTATAGAAGCGAAGGAACCGCAATAGTGCACCAATCACTTAGGTTTTAAAACAATAACTAGACGAATTAAAAACCAAACACCCTTTATTTAAAGCCTGGGTCATGTAAAACGATGACGTTGAGCGGCACTGTGAGATCTCGTGACCTCGAGAGTCATGTGAAACAGTGAAATCACTTGACTTTATGATGGAACGTTGCACCGTGCCATCAAACGAAACCATAAAGAACGCCACTAGATTAACTCAGTTACGAAACTGCTCATAGACGCCCCTTGCACGAGCAGTACACCCCTCTTCCCCAACGGCTCGCCGTTCAGCGCGCCACTGTTTTGGGGAGAGGGCTGCTATGGTACCAGTGTGTTCTATGGAATACGTATGTTTCGAAGCACATTGTCTAGATATTTCACCGTCTTCTATGCAACACACAGTTTTAACACAAAAATCTAGATGGCACCTCAAACGATGGGAGAAGGGGGGAGCGGAAAGAGAGAAGGTATCCTTTCCTTTTCACAATTGAAGATATCTAGTGACGTTTACCATGGCATCACATGACGCCGGTATATCACGTGTTACCGTGACGTCATGTGCCTCATCATTTTACCCTCAAAAGGAGACATACGAGGAGGATCAATAAATGCTTTGCCTACAGACCGCCTTTCTAAAATGCAACAGCGACAACTTTTTTCTATTTATTACTGCGTTTTTGGAAAGGCGTAGGATGGGGGCGTGCAGACCTTGAAGGTTAACGCAGGAAAGCAATGTTGTCATCCCTTGCTGCCACAACCGGTTATTTGTTTTGCAGTGATGAGTATGGCTAGGTTCTTGTAAAACAGCACCACTGCGTTGGTATCTAAATAATGCTGTGTTGGAACAAAAGCAGTGTAACTTGTCGCAAAACAATTCAAACGCTAAGAGCAACGATTAAGGCTGCCAGTCCTTACAATATCATTATTTTTTATTTCAGTTTTCTTTTATTTTCAGTCACTGCTGAGCTTATGCAAGCAAGAGTTGCCGCGGAGCAGGAACGCGTATTACAACGCGATTTCGAAGCAAACAAAGGCGTGTTCTGTTAGCGATGTAACGAACGTAAAGCTTGTAAGCTTTAGGAAGAACTTTCAACCCACAATAATTGCTTCAAATATTCCTTCTTCCCCGCGCTATCAACGAATAGGATCACTTGCCGCGAAACATTGTACATTCCACTAGTGTAGAGCAGTTTCTTAGTAACTTAGAAGCGCACCTGTCGACATAGGCTTGCATACCATTATCTTCAAATGTGTATTAAAAAAATATATGTTTTGTATGATGTACCACCCTACAACAATCCAGAATGGGATTAGAAGTATTTTAAATAATAAATAAATGAACGTAAACAAACGTGTGCTGGCGCGTATCAGCAATAATGGAGGTAAATTGTTTCGTTTCCTGTATAAATACATGGTGTGTAATAATGTGTACGTTATTCGGCTAGTTGATACAGTCGCGGAATATAATAAAATTCCAGCCGAGCGCGTGTCATAGAAGGCCTGCAGCGCAATTGATTATCAGAATGAAACTCGACCATTATTGAGGCTTTAGCGGCGGCTCAAATTTGCTTTGACTCTCCGCTTGACCGGCTGTCACTGAGTTAACGTTGATTTCAATTACAATTGGAGAAGCGTTCCGCAACAAACAGTAAAATCAAGCACAGTTGAAACCACGCGGTCGGAAAGTTGAGAAATTAGCTTCTGGGACCTTTTTTAATAAGTTCGCGGGATAAAAGATGATAAGCGATGATTCCACCTTATGAAATAAACTAAAAACCGCTTATGTTTTTTCACCCCACGTCTTTATCACACAACACATTCAATCTACACTCTAAACTCTATACTTGCCCTGGTCTTTTGTTTTAGAACGCGTAAGCTTGATCCAGAAACAGCGCCAAAGTTGGTGTCGAGTCAGCAATCGCTTGCAGATCAAGTGGAGAGAAAAAAAATTCCTAAGCCACGCTCTCAACTGCGTTGTTTTATGTCACACGCGTCTGCACCTTAATTGCGTAAATAGGACAAGGGCAGACAAGAAAGGGCAGGAAACTTTCGGCTATACTCGTTTCATAGAGGGCAGGCATATAAGGGTGTTTTTTGCAGGAACACCGGACCTATAGTCAAGATTCAAACTGAGCCTTTTTGAAAGTCAAGTGCCGATTGTTAGGAGGTCCGAATCGCTGCACGATGGAGGACCAACCGAGATCGTGGAAAGCGCAAGCCATTTCAAGAAATATGGAGAGTTGGAGCACGACCAACGCTAGGTGCGAACGAGCCAATGAAACAGTCTCGAAACTGCAACGTCACTGCGCTCTTCACCTTTTACCTTGTATCTGTGTGTGGGCGTTTGTGTATGTGTGTGTGTTTGTGTTTATTTGTAAGTGCCTGCTTTCTAGTGCCACCTAACGCATAAAGTGTGCCGTGCAGTTGCGAGTTTAGTCGGCTATTGTGCAGACATTTCACAGCTGCCAACAGAGGGAAGCCCTTCAAAAAGGGGTATATTGGAAGCTTTTCTGTCAGGGTTTCCTCCGTACAAATATGTTAAAATAAAGTTAAAGTACAAGTTCAACTTTCAGTGAATATTTTAGACAAAATTTATTTCAATAGGGTGGTTGAAAGTGAGAAAAAAAAAATTAACGTTTCTTGGCAACACGGAAAAATTAGCTAAATACTTAACTAATATTTACTCATTTACTTTTTAGTTAGCAAAAGTAAATATATGGTCTCAATATAAAAAAAAAAAATTCAGAGCGTCAGCCCCAAACCCTGAATCGATCAATTTTAGCAAGACTTTATGCAGGTGTGAAGTGCGGAAGTCTACGCTGAAGTCTCCACTCGTGTTGCAGGCACAATGATGCCGATTCGAAAACGCGTACGATATTCCTATCATACCCCGTTGTTTAGTCGTTCTACGATTGCCAATATAAGGGTGTGCACTCATCTCATCACGGTGTGCACTCATCTCGCGATTCTTGCGTGACTGCACAATTTACGGGGGCCGATAAAAAGTAATGATATATCGGCGTCGGTGTCGCAGTTGCCGTAACCGTTATATGCGAGAACTTGCACCTAAGTGACCCATTATGCAACGCTGCGCGCGTTGCACTATGGGACGTCACGGGACACTGCTTCACTAAATGCGCCTTGACGCCTCTCGCTGCCACCGAACAGCGCACTCACCGTACCCCCTTCTCCTCCTTTCTCACCTGCACTCAATTAAAAACAACGAATCAATATATATATGTATATATATATATATATATATATATATATATATATGATGGGAATGAGTGAAGATTGACAAGTGCAGCCGTAGTAATATTGTGAACGAATAGAGGAGAAGGTGATTATCGGAAGTTATTGCATTAAAGTTAGGGAAAGAGAAAGGGAAAGAGAGCTGGCAAAGAATTGGGCCAGGAGCGGAGATTGAACCCGCAACCTTCGCCTGTCCTGGGCGACGCCTTAACCGATTACACCATCCCGGCCACTGGTTTCGGCGGACTCAATTTCTGACCAGCT